GAGTAGCATGCACGAATGGTCGCAAAAAAGTTTCGAGCAGAAAGGGAAGTGGCGTTGCAGAGAAACGCGTTGGGAAGAGGGCCATCCAGGCCGCAGCCAGACTTCCCGTCCCAATCACGAGCCGACGTCTTCATGTGTGACGACACGATGTTTATCAACCTCCTTCTACTCTATTACAGTTACGGAGAGACGGTGCGTGGGGAATTTGAATGCTGCGCAGTCATCGCGTGCGCGATGTAGCGACGGGTCACGGACTATGGGGGGGGGGGGGGGGGAGTGGGGCCATGGTCCAGAGTTGTATGTGAAACCATTGGGGCCACCCCTGGGCGCGGCGCGTCTACGTCCATCGAGCGCCGTCGGCTCCCGCAGCCCATCTGGCTCAGAGACAGTCCAGGTGCGCGAGCGTCGCGCATTTGTCGGGGCATCTCGGAGTGCAGGGGAGGCCGCCCGTGGCCTTCACCGGCAGCGGCCAGCTATGGCCATGAGGCCGCTGCGGCAAGGGGCTCGGGTACTACAAGGTGATCGAGGGCCAAGTGGAGCGCGCCAAGAACGGGCCAGGACATGGAGGATATACCAAGGAGGCAATGGACGTCCACGGAAGAGGGCGCGCGTCGAGTCCGAGCGCCAGCCCGCAGTCGCATCGCGTGGGGCGACGAGGAGGAGATTCGACATGGAGGAGGCCCGTGCTTCGCGAAGGAGCAAGTATGCCGATAACAGAAGAGGAAAACTACAGGCATTGCGCGGACAGTTCAGCCTTCGGGGCAGATCCAGGCAGCGAGAGCGATAATAGATCCGGAGGAAGGACCGCAGACCAGGTCACGCTACCAGAGGAACATGCTTGTCATCGAGAGGTTTAAGGAGGTGCCGAGAGTACCGCTGGAGGGCATTACTATGAACGGGGGCATCTTCGCAGCCTACAGCAAAGCAGGAGACCGTGGCGGACGCCCTACGATTCGCAGAATAGTACGACATCCTTCTGAACAGGTGCTTGTCCATGGGCGTGGATGGCGAGGAAGCGCTGGATGCAACCAAGAAGGGATTGGAAGAGAAGGAGAAGAAGCTGCACGATATGGTCGACTACAAGACGGCAAAGGACAGGCGGGGGAACAGCCAAATCACCTCAAGGCGCTGGGCCTCGTGGACAAGTGGGGCGATGACATGCAGCTGTTCAGCGTGCGCGGGAGGAACTCAGGATGGGGCGCAGAAGGACTGCCTGCTCGTGTGGACTGGCCCCCCCCGGCAAGCGGCGGCGGAAAGGCCCCGGCGCCGACTCGAGGGGGGGCCAGTGGAGGTCTCGTCGCAAAGTGGTTTGGGAGCAGCTGGCGACGGAGGGCCGCCGAGACGATGAGCTCATGATAGAGTGGGTGGACAAGCGAGGGCTGCGAGAAGTGGCCCGACATCGGGTGCAGGGCGAAGTTCCACCCGCGCAGGAGGGGGCCTTCCATGGCGGCGGAGCCCAAGGTCGGAGAAAAGTGGGAAGCGTTCGTAGCGGACAGGCTGCCGCAGAAGCCCGACGACGCCATCGAGGGGAACCGCTGCGCGTTCTGCGACGCGGCCCAGAAGACGAGCCCAGAGGAGCTGCTCGAGCTGACCCCGCCGCCCTTTCCGATGTCGCACCAGGTCCAGGGCCGCGCGCTGATCGCAAGGTGCCCAGTGAAGGCGCGGGAAAGAGCAGGAAGGAAGTCTTCCTCTACGCGAAGCTGGTGCTCGCTGGCGCCGAGGGTCTCGAATGGCGACGCGGAGGACCTGCGCGTCGTCGTGGGGGCGGCCTTGGAGGAGAGGAAGAACGAGGCGACGCTCGACCCAGGGGAGGTAGAGAGGCTCACAAAAACGCCAGCAGTCCCGAGACAGTACGAATGCCCGGTCGGATGGCACCGAGATCTTCGAGAAGTGCGCCGAGTCGGGGGAGGTGGCCAGCTCTGGCGACCGAGCGTGAGAGAGCCCACTTGCAACGCCAAGAGGTGCATTGGCGAGGGCATCTCGGAGTGCGACTCTAGGCAGGCAGGGCGGGCAGACTCAGAGGGGCCACCGCGACCGGGGACATCTCGGCGCGAGGACCATTGGGAAAGACCTCGCGTCGACGACGTCTCGGATTTTTTTTTTTTTTTTTTTTTTTTTTTTTTTTGAAAAAATATTGAAATATATGAAACATATTATTATTATTAGTATTATGATTGAATTTTCTCGTAGCGCCGACAGGTGCTGCAGGGGGCGAGGAGCGGAAAATGAGACGGCCACGAGGGCCACCAGGGCGCGCCATTAAGGGCCCCTCCTATCTCGGATCTGCAGTGGCACGTCTGGAGGACAGGGTGAGGCGAAGAAAGGCAACCTCCCACGTGCCGTGACAATAAGTACGCCCACCCCGACCTCACCGAGGGGGTACTGCGGGATACTACTGCAGGGCATCAGGGTACATGTGCGACAATGCATGGGGCAACGAACGGCCAACGCGCTCAGGAGGAGAAGTGATCCTAGAGAGAGAAGGAAAGAGAGACTAGGGTAGACATGACAAACAGTTGGTCGCTGGTAGGATGTAATTAGGCCCCCCCCGCAGCAAAGTTTGGAACGCAAGGGCCTCCCGCTTTTCCTCTTCTTCTCCTTATTGAGTGGTCGTGTCGTCGTTCCCCCCCCGTCGCTTGGGGGCCCGGCTCGCCCAGCGCGCCCCCGTGGTCATGGGCGCGCGAGAGCGCCGACGGCTGCCCCCCCCCCGCGCTGACCCGCAGGGACTCGCACTCACAAGGTAGCGGGCCTCTCTTACGGGGCCACCTCGTAAACCGCCCCTTGAAGCTTCGGGGCATGCCCCCTGCCCGCCCCCATGAGAAGTCTGGGCTGTGGCGCAACCTAGTCGCAGGGGATTTTGTTACTCGCGCGCACGGCGCCATCGTCGGTTTTGACGTTGGCCCCCTTTATGCGGATGTCCTGTCCTCCTCCTCTTCTTCCTCCGTCTCCCTTTGGGCCCCTCCCCCCGCCCGTCCTTGGCATCCCCCCCCCCCCTTCCCTCCCCCCTTTGGGGCTGGGTGCGGCGGAGCCGCGTTGGCATCGGCAGCGGCCCTGGCGGAGTCGAACCCACGGGGCCAGCTGCTGGCCGACGAAGCGCCCGCGGCTTAGATGCAGCCCGAAGCGGAAGTCTCCGCCCCCCCCCGCCGTTCGGGAGCTTGGGTCAATGCAAACGGGGGGCAGCCAGGGCGCCGGATCTTGCAGGATCCTGCAGGGCCAGGGGCGCATTGGCCCGGGCCTGGGTGCAGGATCTTGCAGGATCTTGCAGGGTCGTGCAGGATCCTGCAAGGCCTGACTGACCCGGATCTCTACCCGACGCCCTTCCCGCACCCCGGCGATGTATCGCGCATTCTGGGCCGATGTCCCCCCCCCTCCCCCATGAGCCAGACCTCCCCTGCCGTTTTGCCCCTCAATCGGCCAGGGCCCGCGTCTGTGGAGTGCCCATCAGGGCGGCGCAGAGTGCAGAAGCAGCGGTTCGGGCGTCCCCCGGGAGAGTAAGCTGGAAGGGAATAGGTTTCCATGGACTTTGCGGTCCGCGCGGATTTCTTGGATCCGCGCTCGGCCCCCCCGGCGCCGCCTTCACCGCCGCCCCTGGCGTGCTCCGCGCGCCAGGGAGGGGATTCTAGCCCAGATCCGCAGAATTCGAGCGGACGTCAAACAAAAATCTTCATGCCGTTGTTTCTTCCTCTGTTTCCGGAAGAGGAGAGAAAGATATCGCTAGACCACCGTAGCCCACAAGGCTGGTGGGATTTGTTCAAAGCTTCAGGCCTCTGGGAAGGCAGTGGCTGGGGCTCAGGTCTGGCGAGTTCCGGGTCCACGGGTCCACAGACGGGCGCTGCCATCCGGGGCCCTTGCTCCGAGGCGGGGAATTATCCATAACCAGCGCCTGGGTGGGCGATGTTCGGGAACTCCGCAGGCACTGGATATGGATCTTGGGTCATCCGTATCCGTCGCCCGCTGGGGTTCCAGCACGCCGCTTCCGCAGGCAGTGTAAATGGAAGATTACCCGCCTTGCATCTGTACCCCCAGCTTCTCTCCAGGGTCCTCGCTTCCGGTCCACGCATCGACAAAAGTCGGTGCGCCGCATATCTGGTGGAGGAGCCATCGGCATCCGACGGATGGTGGTGCTGGAACTCGCTGCTCTTGTTTTGCTACTTATCTCCCTCCTCCCTTCCCATCGCCGCTTTTTGCACGACCCCTGTAGCCCAGATTCCAGAGGACACGGCCTCACCCGCCGGGCCATGGCGAGGCAGGGACGGTGGTCCGCAGTGGTGGTCGTTCGCTCGTTCGCTCTCATCCTTTCCTGCCCCCTTCGTCACTCCTCCTTCCCCTCTCGACTTCTCGAACTGCCTGACGCCCAAAAAGACGCTCGACGACGATCTCTCGACGGCGCGCCCAGGGGTACGGCAGAGGGGGCGGGCCTTCTCAGAAGGCTCAAGAGGCCTCCCGCCGGAGGAGCCTCCTGAGCCTCCTCGGACGCCGCAGCGCTGCTCCCCCCGGGTCGCCGCCGATTCTGCGCCGACCCAGACATCCGACGTCGTATCTTTCTGCTCTCAGCGTGGCCCCCGAGCGGTTTGGGCCCCTTCCCGGAGACCGGCTTCGCATCCTGAGCCGTCTCTTGACATCCAGGGGGCCGAGTTGGGGCCCCCAGAGGCCGAAAAAGGCCGAGAGCCTCTCGCCGTGGCCCCGAGAGGTCTGGGCCCCTTCCCGGAGCCCGGGCTCTTCCTCCTGAGCCGTCGTTGGATGCCCAGGGGCACAGGGCGGGCCTCCCGGAGGCCGACCAAGGCTGGGAGCCTCTCTGGCCAGAACGGCCCGAAAGGGCCGGAGAGGGCCGACACGGGTGGTGGTTTTTGCGCGACGCGATGCCGGTCGTCTGGGAGGAGGAGGAGGAGGAGGAGGAGGAGGAGGAGGAGAGGAGGAGACGGAGGAGGAGGAGGAGGAGGGTTTGTTCTGCGGCGCGCCGGCGAGCCTCGCTGCCCTGCCCTCCCTCGCCCGTGGCCCAGGATGCTCGCGTCCGTCACTGGGGAGCCCAAGAGACTGCCTCCCCCCGCGGGGCCGCCCAGGCCGCCCGACGAAGGACCCGCCCGTGCTCCGCCGCGCATGGTCGGGGGCGGCAGCGAGGGGGGTGACGACTGGGGTAGGGGGCCACGTGCGAACCCTACCCCTACTCCACCTCCTCCTCCACCTCCCCCTCCCCCCCTCCCCCTCCCCCTCCCCCTCCCCCTCCCCCTCCCCCCTCCCCCCTCCTCCTCCTCCTCCTCGTCCTCCTCCTCCCCCCCGTCCTCTTCCCCTTCCTCGTCCTCGTCCTCCTCCTCCTCCTCCTCCTCCTCCTCCTCCTCCTCCTCCTAGGAGGCCACGTGCGAACCCTACCCCTACGCCCCACGATTTCTGATGGGGAGGGTTCGCACGTGGCCCCCTACTAGAGTCGGGGGCGGCAGTGAGGGGGTTGATGACGTGGGGGGGGACCTCATGACGGGGGGCATGATATCTCCCCAGGCTTCGTGGCGCCTCTTCTCATTTCAGTACGTCCTTGACCCCCCTTGGGCCGCGCACATGCCGCCAGCCATGATTTGCGCCCCCCTCCCCTCTTGGACGCCCCCCTCTCGGTCGCCCCCGATAGAATGGCGGGGTTTGTAGTTGGAACCAACTGGGGGTCTGAGGTGGCCCAGCCTTGGTTCCGGCCGGCAAGGAAGAAGGGGTGAGGTTCGAGGTTTGGGGTTCGAGAATTTTTTGTTGTTCGGTGTTTCGGTCTCAGGGGGCCGCTTTCGGGACCCAGAACTGTCAAAATCGGATACGGAACGAAAAGCTACACCAGATGGACCTCAGAAGATGTCTGTGTACCGATTTTGAGTGGTCTTGCCCCTCCATCTTGACCGATTTTCCCAGGGCTCAACCAGCTCAGACCCCTTGCCGTTTCCAAGTTGACAGGATGCAGCTCGTGGGAGGTTAAATCCATGGCGCTTCGCGTATCCCCACCAGCGCTCGTCTTCCCGCCCAGAAGCTACACCGTGATCCTGGTGCTGCTCCCCCCTTACGCGCCATTGTGGCCGCGCTGAGTTCCGCCTCGCCCCGGCATGCTCGCTGCCCTGTTTTTTCTTTCGCAGGTGGCATAGCCTGCCTGCCCCTGCTTGCCCGACGTCCGACTTGATTCGTGCGCCTGCGTACCCAAAAAGTATACCCACCAGCCCATCCTGGAGGGATGCCCAGGGGAGCTGCCCTTCTCGTGGGTGCGGGGCATCATTTGGAGAGCTCGGGGATCCTCCGCGGGCCAGAGGCTTCTCGGGATGCCCCTCGGAGTCTCATTGGATATCTTTCGGGGTCTCTCGGGGGCCTCTTAGGGCATCCCGGGGGCCTCCCAGCGGCTCCTTGGGGCTTCTTCGGGCGCCTTGGGTGGCCTTTTGGAGGCGTCGGTGCAATTGGTGGTCGTGATCGGACAGGGAAGGCGCGGGCGGAGTATTGCGCGGAAGGCGGCGACAGCCAACACGACCCCCATGGGGCTCCAGACGATGCAGGAATGGGAGAGCGCAGACCAACCAGGAGAGAGCGGGGAAATAGCTGACCAAACGATTATTTGGTACGCTATTTCCTTCTGACGCTTGGATATGCATGTAGGGCGCGATAGCGAATGCGAAAGGCATCGCGCACAGGATGTACATGAGGAGAGAGATAGAGAGAGAGAGAGAGAAAGAGAGAGAGAGAGAGAAAAAAAAAGAGAAAAAGAGAGAGAGAGGGGAGGTGCATTATGAGAGGAGAAGTTTACAAAGGACGGGGACGGGATGACTGTCAGGATGAGAAGTGGGACGCGGTTGCGGAGGAGGAAGCGCAAGGAGAGTTACCCTCGTAGGTTTCTGTGCCGTCGCAAGGCGACAGGAATGAGGCAGATGAGGAGGACGAGGGCAAAGACGATAAGATCGATTACGGCTGATGTGGGGATTGGAAAAGAGGAAATGGGCATGATGAGGTGGATGGGAAAATCATGAGAAGCGAGGAGGGGAACTAGCAAAGCATCGCGAAGAAGGCGCTGGGTGGGCGGGGCGCGAAGGCGACCAGAGCCAAAACTATGCTACGCCGACAGGGGCCCCAACACCCGAAATTGGAGGACCGGCGCGAGGCAACAAGACGCGTGGTGATAAAGAAGGGTACGAAGAAGAGGAGGAGAAGGAGGAGGAGAAAGAGGATGAGGAGGAGGGCGATGAGGAGGATCAGTATGAGGAGGACGAGGAAGCGGAAGAGGACGAGGAAAGGATGATGATGTTGATGCTGATGCCGATGCTGCTGCTGATGCTGATGCTGATGCTGATGCTGCTGATGATGATGATGATGCTGATGCTGATGCTGATGATGATGATGCTGCTGATGATGCTGCTGATGATGATGATGCTGATGATGATGGTGATGATGAGGATGGAATGATGATGCTGATGATGATGCTGACAATGATGATGATGATGATGGTGATGATAAGGATGATGCTGCTGATGATGATGCTGATGATGATGCTGATGATGATGATGATGGTGATGCTGAGGATGAGGATGATGATGATGCTGCTGATGATGATGCTGATGATGATGCTGATGATGCTGCTGATGATGATGATTCTGGTGCTGATGATGCTGATGATGATGACGATGATGATGCTGATGATCAATATGATGATGATGCTGATGATGATGATGATGATGATGAGAATGATCATGATTATGATGATGATGATGATGCTGATGCTCATGATGATGCTGATGCTGATGCTGATGCTGATGCTGCTGCTGCTGATGATGATGCTGATGATCATTATGATGATGATGGTGATGATGATGATGCTGATGATGCTGATGATGATGATGCTGCTGATGATGATAATGATGATGATGATGCTGCTGATGATGATGATGATGATGAGATGATGATGAATGATGATGATGATGATGATGATGATGATGATGATGATGATGATGATGATGATGATGATGATGATGATGATGAATGATGATGATGCTGATGATGATGATGATGATGATGATGATGATGATGATGATGATGATGATGATGATGATGATGATGATGATGATGATGATGATGATGATGATGATGATGATGATGATGATGATGATGATGATGATGATGATGATGATGATGATGATGATGATGATGATGAGATGATGATGATGATGATGATGATGATGATGATGATGATGATGATGATGATGATGATGATGATGATGATGATGATGATGATGATGATGATGATGATGATGATGATGATGATGAATGATGATGATGATGAATGTGATGATGATGATGAGGAGGAGAGGAGGAGGAGGAGGAGGAGGAGGAGGAGGAGAACGAGGAGAACGAGGAGGAGGATGATGATGAGGAGGAGGAGGAGGATGAGAACGAGGAGGAACGGGAGGAGAAACAGCATGATCGATGATGAGCAAGAGGAGGATGATGAGGAGGCGAAGGAGGAGAACGAGGAGGAAGAGGAAGAGGAAGAGCGCGAGGATGAGCAGAAGGATCGATGAGGACCAGGAGCAGGAGAAGGAGGAGGAGGAGGAGGAGGAGGAGGAGGAGGAGGAGGAGGAGGAGGAGGAGAAGGACAACTAAGAAGATGAGATCCTTCAATCCGCATCCCTCCGATATTGTCTCGGATCCTCCATTTGCACTGACTGCCTTTTCGAGGGCTCATGGGCGTCTTTGGGGCCTCTTTGGCGGTTTTCAGAGCCTCTTGGGACGTCTTAGTTCTTGGGTGCCTCTTGCTGCCTCTGGGTGCACTCTGGGTTCTCTCTTGGGAGCGTTTCGGCGGCCCTCCTCACCCGCAGGAAACCCAAATGGGCCCAAATCCTGAGTCCAATCAGTGAGTTATGCCTTCTCGCCGGTGCCTTCCGAGACGCTCAACCCCCGCGGCCCCAACCCTGTCCAGGTCTCTACGAGGGCTGTAGCCGGAGGGCTAAACCCTTCCCCCGTGCCAGCGAGTGATGGGTTTTGGAAGAGGCAAGAAAGCAGTCGTCAGGTAAGATGCACCTCCTGGGAGGTCAAACTCAGCATTGGAGCCGGCTGGGGTGGCTGAGGTCTGAGGGTGGCCCAGAAGTGGTTCCGCCCAGCAAAGAGTGGGGAGCAAGGGGCTCGTCGGCGTCGCGGCTGGATGCGGGTCGAACAACTGGTCAGTTTCGCCCTTCGGAGGGGACCGATTTTGCTCCACGCAGGTCCCTGTGGGTGTCTCATGGGCTGCACCTCTTCTTGTCACCCTCCGATGGCGGTACGCCCTGACCACCTTGCGTCGCCCCTCGGTGGAGGCCGTCTGTCCATCCACCTGCAGACAAATATTCCCGGTTGGGATGCAGCGTTGCTTGGGAGAAAACATGGCCTTGACATCGCTCGGACGTGTGCATTTTTTCCTCTGCGAGGACAGTCGGGGAGCATATTGGATCATCGTGCGAGAAACATGAATGCACGGCATCGAAATCACAACCGAGGACTGGTCTTTTGAAGTCCAATGATGACGAGGGACGGGATTAGAGGAAGGCAGGGGCAACGTCAGGGGGTGATCTGATAGGCCCAGTGGGGGCTGCCTCGAAGCCCGATCGCCCGCTGATCGCCGCCATGGGCCGGACTGCCCCAATCTGCCCAGGAGCGTGCGGCTTCGCGGACAGGATCCTGTCGCCCATCTGTCGGCGACGTCTAATCGCCGATTCCAGGTCGGCGTCGCCCCCCCCCCCTCCTCTCAGCGGGCCCCCCCCGCCCCGCTGTTCATCTTCTCTCGTGGAGGCTCAAGTTGGGCTCCACGAGGGGCGCCCTCGAGGCCCCCCTCCCGCGGCCGCAGAGGGTACCGAGGGGGGGGGCTCGGTGCAGTTGCAGCCCGGGGGCGGCCCTCCCGACGGAGGCTCCCCGAGTCGGGGTCCAGGGGGGGGGGGCACGCCCACTCAGTTGAAAGATATACTGGAGTTGGGTGGCCTGAGCATCAAGGTCACCTTGACCATCGATGCTGAGTCTGTTTCTAAGTCCTTGTCAAGCAACGACTTGAAGACGCCCACTGAGTGTACCCTTTTAGGACACATCAGTTGGATACGACAGATGATGGAGCGTGGAATTGTGCACAGCATCCATTGGTGCGACACCCGCAATATGATTGCGGATGGTCACACCAAGGGGAGCATCGACAGAGAAATGTTCCTACAAGTCATGGGAGGTATACAGGCCTTCAAACATGACCTGAAGAGACATATTCCACATCGGGCCGGCCAAACATCAATTTTTGACCCAGTCTGATGAGTACGTCGCGGTCACAACTGTACGAACGAGGCAACTTGGGAGCGGGTCCGCCTTCAATTTGGCCCGCTTCATCTTCTGTCCTTGTGTCTGTCAGCTGCTGTGCCTGCTGTATAGGGGCGACGGGCTCACGCTTCGTCTCCCCCCCCACGATTCTAAAGCGAGCTGAGGGACGTAAGGGGTGGAAGCGAGCGTGCGCCCGCGGTCGCGTCGGCTCAAGCGGCCGGCCGCCCAAATATGACTGTGCCTCATTGCGAGGCACACAATCGCTATCGAGACCAAAAGGATTTTCCTAATGCTTGAAACGGCACATCCTCTTATATTGGGACTATCGTTACTACGGTACAGCAGAGCGGGAGCTTGGCTTCGCCTGAGGCGAAGCTTCTGGCTGGGCCTCCCAGCCCCCTTCACACTAGGTGCCCATGAGTTGCACCGAAGCTCTCTCCCAATCCCCCTCTTTTGTGCCACTCGCCCCGTGGTGTGTGGATGCCGTGAAACATTCTCCGATTACGATCCTCGCGGCCATGTGGTGGCCACGGAGGCCACGCGTGCCACGGACGCTCGGATTACTGCCCGCGGCCACGATGCCGCGGGCCACAGGCCTTGAGCGCCTGCATCCCCGACAGGCACGAAGCCAGGAAACACGAGGATGGCTTGAACAGCACCTTCCCGTGCGTCATCGCGGCAGGTTATACGGCCTTCGCTGTCGACGATGACCATCGCTGTGTATCTGATGGCCGTCGGCCCATCCCGCCACCGTGCCTGGGTTGTGGGTATGGAACCGCCCAGTGGATGTTCGTTGGGAGCTGGTTGGATGCCTCCTGGGGGCCTTTTGGGAGTCAATTTTAAGCCCTTTTGTTTTTTTTTGGTGCCTCTTTTGAGACTCTTTGGGGCCTCTTGGGGCCTCTTGGGGGCCTCGTGTGGACTTCTTCGGACCTCTCGGGTGGATCTTGGGGCTTCCTGGGGGCCTGCCTGGATTTTCGGTTCGTTTTCCCTCTCCGGTTCGTTTTCCCTCTCTTGGACCCTCTCGGGCCGTCTTGGGCGCTTCTTGGGCCGTCTTGGGGCGCTCTTGGGCCGTCTTCGGGTTGTCATTGTGGCCTTTTGGGCGGTCTTGGAGCGTCGGACAACAGAAAAGGCAAACGCGCCAATGTCCTTTCACAACTTATGGAGGGAGGGAGGGAGGGAGGGAGGAGGAGGGCCGACGTGGGCCGAGGGAGGGAGGGAGGGAGGGAGGAGGAGGAGGAGGAGGAGGAGGAAACGGAAAAGGAAGAGGAGGAGGAGGAGGAGGAGGAGGAGGAGGCGGAGGAGGACGAGGAGGAGGAGGAGGAGGAGGAGGAGGAGGTGGAGGAGGAGGAGGAGGAGGAGGGAGGAGGAGCAGGAGCAGGAGGAGGAGGAGGAACATGAAGATGATGATGAGGAGGAGGGCGGGGGACGGACGAGAGGACTACTCCTCATAATACAGATAAGGATTTATAATAATACGAATCATAAAAAGAATGCGAAGTGGAATGCGAAAACTAATAATAATGAAACTTACATTGATAATAAGCACAGTAGTAATACGAATACGAATGATAATATTGTCACCCAGAAAATAATACGTATACGACAAAGAATCATCAGCATACTACTATGACGAATAAGACTACTACTACTACTTCTTCTACTACTGCTACTATTATTACTGCTACTTCTACCACCACCACTACTACTACTACTACTACTACTAATTGCTACTGCCACTACTATTACTATTACTATTACTATTCCTATTACTATTACTGTTACTATTACTATTACTACTATTACTATTATTATTACTATTACTATTACTATTACTATTACTATTACTATTACTATTACTATTACTATTACTATTACTATTACTATTACTATTACTATTACTATTACTGTTACTATTACTATTACTAGTACTAGTACTATTCGTACTATTACTATTACTATTACTATTACTATTACTATTACTATTACTATTACTTCTACTATTACTATTACTATTACTATTACTATTACTATTACTATTACTATTACTATTACTATTACTATTACTATTACTATTCGTACTATTATTACTATTACTATTACTATTACTATTACTATTACTATTACTATTACTATTACTATTACTATTACTATTACTATTACTATTACTATTACTATTACTATTACTATTACTATTACTATTACTATTACTACTATTACTATTACTATTACTATTACTATTACTATTACTATTACTATTACTATTACTATACTATTACTATTACTATTACTATTACTATTACTATTACTATTACTATTACTATCACTATCACTATCACTATTACTATTACTATTACTATTACTATTACTACTACTACTACTACTATTACTATTACTATTACTATTACTATTACTATTACTATTACTATTACTATTATTATTACTATTACTATTACTATTACTATTACTATTGCTATTACTATTTTCTATCACTATTACTATTACTATTACTATTACTATTACTACTACTATTACTATTCGTATTAGTATTAGTATTAATATTAATATTACTATTCCTATTACTATTACTATTACTATTACTATTACTATTACTATTACTATTACTATTACTATTACTATTACTATTACTATTACTATTACTATTACTATTACTATTACTATTACTATTACTATTACTATTACTATTACTATTACTATTACTATTACTATTACTATTACTATTACTATTACTATTACTATTACTATTACTATTACTATTACTATTACTATTACTATTACTATTACTATTACTATTACTATTACTATTACTATTACTATTACTATTACTATTACTATTACTATTACTATTACTAATACTAATACTATTAATATTACTATTACTATTACTACTACTATTACTACTACTTTTACTACTACTACTACTACTACTACTACTACTAACTACTACTTCTAACTACTACTATCACTACTACTACTACTGCTACTACTACGGCTACTACTACTACTACTACTACTACTACTACTACTACTACGTCTACTACGACTACGACTACGACTACTATTTTTACTACTACTACTACTACTACTACTACTACTGCTGCTGCTGCTGCTACTGCTGCTGCTGCTGCTACTACTACTACTACTGCTACTACTACTACTTCTAATCATACTACCAATAGTAATACTAGGAGGAAGAGGCGGAGGCGGAGGTGGAGGCGGAGGGGGAGGAGGAGGAGGAGGAGGAGGAGGAGGAGGAGGAGGAGGAGGAGGAGGAGGTGGATGATGGGTGATGATGACGATGATGATGCTGATGATGATGATGATGATGATGATGATGTATGTGGTGTGGTGGTGGTGATGATGATGGTGGGGTGGTGCGATGAATATGATGATATGATATGATGATGATGGCTGCTGCTGCTGCTGCTGCTGATGATGATGATGATGATGATGATGATGATTATGATGATGATGAAGGAGGAAGGATGAGGAGGAGGAGGAGAGGAAGGAGGAGGGAGGGGGAGGGTGAAAGGTGAGGATGAAGCAGGAGGGGGAGCAGGAGGAGGAGCAAGAGGAGGAGGAGGAGGAGCAGGAGGAGGAGGAGGAGGAGGAGGAGGAGTAGGAGGAGGAGGAGGAGGAGGAGGAGCAGCAGGGGGCGGAAAAGGAGGAGAAGTTGGAGGAGGATGAGGTGGATCAGTTTCAAAGTTGGGTTCCCTTCCTTGTGCTCCTCTGTCCCGCCTTCCCTCACCCCCGGGGCAGGGCCTCCTACGATCCGGTTCGCTGCGCCCCGATTCGCGGGCTGGGCCCGCGATTCCGATTTGATTCGATCCGGCCCGATGCTTTGGCATCGGCCTGGGCCAGTCGGAGCCGCGCGCGGCGACACGATGCCAACTCGATGCGGGAGGATTCGCTGGCGACTCGATCCGTTCCCGATCCGAGCCGACCTCGCGGTTCGATGCAGCTCAAGCCTGCCCCCGCCTCCGCCCCTCCCGGGCCGGGGCCGTGGCAGCGGAGGGCGCGGCGCGCGGCCAGGGGACAGCGACCGGCTGGAGCAGTCGATCCGGAAGCAGGAGCAGCAGACCTTGGTGGGCGTGGGCCGGGCCCCAGCTCCGACGCCGCCGCCGACGCCGCGGCGCCGCGGCGGCCGCCGCCGCCGACCACGGCGACGACGGCGGACGACGGAGGACGGACGACAGACGACGACGACGACGAACCAGCCCACGCCCACAGGGGGAGGGCCGGGGGTGCACTGCCACCTGCCACGCCCACAGGGCCACGACCGCAGGGAGGGGGGGGGACGATCCTCCCATTCGCGAGACCTTCGAGAGGCTCACGAGCGTAGTTCTACCCACCCAGCGGGAGGGGGGGGCTCGATCCCATATGCATTATGGGGGGATCGGTGCGGGGCAACCCTGGATAATTTATTAATTTATGTATTCATTTACAGATATAGGGCCGGGGACCCTGGAAAAACGCCCCCCCCCCCCCCCCCAACCTAACGAATTTCGAACTCCCCGGGCTGAAGCCCCCCCCCTGGGCTGCTCGGACGCCCTTGCAAAGGGTTCCTTCGGCCTTCCGGCTTTCTCGGAAGGTCCAAAGAGGCCTCAAATATTGCCCAAGACAGCTCGTCGACAGTTCCAAAGCACACCAAAACCGTCAACATGGCTTCCAAGCGCCCCAAGGGGCCTCCAAGAGGCTTCCCAAAAGGGTCCGAAGAGGCAACATTCATTGATTTATCAATTGTTTTTTTGAAGGCTTCTCCGGTTTTCGCTTTTCCGGGACAAGAACGGCCCAAGACTGCCCAAGAGGCTCCAAAGATCTTCCCAACACGGCCCCAGAGGCCCCCCAAAGGGCTCGAAAACGGCCCAAGAGGGCCCCTAGACGGCCCAAGAGTGCCCGAAAACTACCAAGGGAGCCCCATGACGGCCCCAAGAGAGCCTCATGAGCACCCCAACAGGTTCCCAAGAGGGCCCCAAGAGGCCCCCAAAACAGCAGCCCGAAGACGGCAGAAGGCCTCCAAGACGCCCCAAGACGGCCCGAAAGGGCCCCCAAACGGTTTCAACCCAAACGGCCCCAAAGGGGCCCCCAAGAAGGCCCAGAGAGGCAAAAATAATTGATTTGTTGAAATGGTTTGAATTTTTTTATCGGTTTTCGCTTTTCGGGCCACGAACGGCCCAAGACGGCACAAGAGTGTTTCACATGGAATTTCCCTGTAAAGCAATTATTTCACGGATGTAGACATCTTTTAACAATCAATTACCGTGTAAAGCGAGCGTCAAACGCTCTTGGGACGTTCAGACGCTGGAAGGCGTTGTCATTTGATATCCATACGTGCATACATGCACATGCACATGCATACATACGCAAAGTAAATTCACATGTGCACACACATCCCCCCCGAACGCATTTCCGACTCCCCGGGCTGCTGGGAAGCCCCCTGCGGGCTGCTCGATCTGCTGGGAAGCTCCCCGGGGGCTGCTCGGACGCTCTTGCAAGGGGGTTCTTCGACCTTCCGGCCTGAGGTGTTCAGACCACTCTTCGCTTGAGACTCCCTCGCACAGCTGACTTCGGAGATGCCCTGCCCCATAGTTCTCGGGACAGTTTCGCCTGAGACATCCTCGCAACGTCAACCTCGGATACGCCTTGCCGCGTAGCAATCAGACACGTAGCACTCCGGCACGTTCACAAGGCTGGCGGCGCCCGTCGTTGAGTCCCTCTCAGGTCCTCCTGTCTTTCAACGCTTTCGGAGGCCAGCTCCCAGCGTCTTGCATCCGCGTCAGTTCCAGCCTCCATGCCATGACTTACGATCCTGAGCGTTCGTGCCTGCCTGTCTTCGGTTCCGCGGGACTCCTCCTATTAGTCTTTCCCTTCGCCTTCCTCCTTCCCACTGTCGGCCGAGACATCCTCGCAACTCTGACCCCAGAGAAGCCCTGCCCCAAGGTTGTCCGGCCACTTCCGCTTGAGACCTTCTCGCAACTCTGGGTTCTGGGGTTCCCTGAGCTGAGGTGTTCCGGCCACTTTCGCGAGAAACATCCTCGCAGTTCTGGATTCCGAGAGATGCCCTGCCGCAGAGTAGTCCGCCACTTTCACCTGAGAGATCCTCGCAATTTTGGATTCAGGGATTCTCTGAGCTGAGGTGTTCAGGCCATTTTCGTTTGAGACAACCTCGCAATTCTCATTTCGGGTACGTCCCCAGCTGAGGTGGTCAGTTCACTTTCGCTTGAAACATCCTCGCAACGCTGACATCGGATATGCACTGCCGCGTAGTAGTCTGGCTACTTTCGCCTGAGACCCTTGCACCTCTGAGTTGCGAGATGCCCTGAGCAGGCGGTCAGGCCATTACCGCCTGAGCTACGCATGTGTATGCGCACCTATAATTACATATAGGTGCGTGCACCAACAAACACCTGCGATTGACAGATACCAATACATATGCATGCACCTGTTTATAGGTAATGTGTATATACATATGCAGCGATATACATGTGTGGTATACACATAGATATATGTGCAGAGCGTGCATGCGCGTGCGCGTGTATACATGTATGCGCGCATGTACGCACGCACGCACCCCGCTTGCGTGCGAAACGCAGAGGACCAAGGTGCATGGCGCGCAGCGCCAATGCAGCCTTGTATTTGTATATCGGGTCCCTTGTTCCCAGGGCCGTGTACCATCTCCCCGACATCCTGTGCACGACCATGGCACGTTCTCCTGTTGGCATTTTGGATGATGCTTCCAGATCTTTCCAGGCCGCCCGCGATATTATCGAGGTCCCCAACGAATTCCCAATGTTGCGTCGCCATTTATTTCGACAGAACGTCTGGACATGCACAACCGCAGGACGTGTGTTACACAATGGTTGGTGTTGTGTGCTTTCAATTGAAGATTGATCCGCTAGCGCTGTGGGGGGGGGGTGGCTGGCAGAGCGTGAGGAGTCTCCAAGATGTTCCCACGAGGCCCCCAAAACGCGTGAAGAGGCCCCCACGAGGCCCACAACAACTTCCCAAGATACCCTCGAAGAAGCCTGGAAGGATCCCAAAGGGTTCAAGTAGCACCTATGAGCCCAGAGAGGTCCCCTCGACGAGGCCGAGAAACGCACCCATGAGATCCACGAGGGCTTAACACACAAACTATTGCAGCAATGGGCAGCAAAACGCCTTGGCACGTGGGTGCGTCAGACTGGGCCGATTGCTGCGCGGCAGCGTTTTGACATCCTTAACTTCCAAGCAATTCTTTGCAGTCACAATGTGTGCAGGAGTCGCGCTCTCGCGTGGGACGCCCGCGCAACTCATTCAAATGCCGCGCCCTCGACGCTCAGGAATCGCGCTCTCGCTTTTGTTTTTCCCGCAGTTCACTTGGGAATCGCGCTATCTCTCGAGGCCGCCTCGCGAGTCCCTGCCCGACCTGGCCAAGTGGCCCGCCTTCCCGACCCGCCCGCTAGTGTCCACCAGCCCGATCAGCCCGTCCGGTTCTGCCACGTGTTTTTTGCGCCTCTTCCATCCGGTCTCTTCTTCCCAGTTTTCAGGCGTTGCGCCAATTACACGCTGCAGGTAAGGAAGATATAACCTCAGGGGGGTACGGCCGATGACGAAGAGGGCGCGTACCGAGGGTTTGGGATACGCGTGCTGTTTGGCACGAGAGCAGGTAAGAGCGAACAGTCTTGAAATGCTTGTTGTTGTTGTTGGTGGTGGTGTGGTTGTTGTTGTCGTCGTCGTCGGTGTTTGGTTGTTGTTGTTGCTGTTGCTGTTGCTGTTGCTGTTGTTGTTGTTGTTGTTGTTGTTGTTGTTGTTGTTGTTGTTGTTGTTGTTGTTGTTGTTGTTGTTGTTTGTGTTGTTTGTTTGTGGATCGCAGTGAGGTTGTTTGTTTGCTTGTTTGTTTGGTGTTGTGGTTGTTTGTGATTGTGTTGCTGTTGATGTAGTTGTTGGTGTTATTATTGTTGTCGCAAGTCTTGTTGTTGCTGTTGTTGTGGTGGTAGTTGTTGGTCTTGTTATGGTTGTTGATGTTGTTGCTGTTGTGGTTGCTGTTGTTGTGGTTGTTGTTGCTCGTCGTGTTGTCATTGCTTGTGTTGTTGTGGTTTTTGATATTGTTGTTGATTATGGTAGAGTTGGTGTTATTGTTGCTGGTGTTGTTATTGTTGTTGTAGTAGTAGTTGTATTTGTTGTTGTTGTTGTTGTTGTTGTTGTGGTATTGGTTGTGGTTGTGGTTGTGGTTTTGATTGTGGTTGTGGTTTTTGTTGAACTCTCATTCTTGAAGAATATTATTGTTGATCCCCCCCCACCGGTGCACAGTGGTCTTTTCAATTGAAGTGCCCCCCCCGGGGCTCGCACCTTCTTTTTTGTCAAGGAAAGTCTTCCTGCTCAAACTGGCCCCCTGGCCCCCGGGTTACAACAACAACGGCTCCCGCCTGAGACTCCTTCACAATTTAGCCAGGACCCCCGCTCCCGCCCGAGACTTCCTCGCATTTTATTCGAGAATCGCGCTCTCGCTTGTGACTTCCTTACGATTTATTCAAGAATCGCTCCTCCTGCGCTCTAGAGTCGCGCTCTCGCTGGAGACTTGCTTGCAATTTACTGAAGAATAGCGCCTTTGCGTTGGAATTTCTTGCAATTTACTCCAGCGCCGCGCTCCCGACACCCAGGCACCCAGGAGTCGCGCTCACGCTTAGGACTCCTTCACAGGTTACCTAGGAATCGGGATCTCGCTGCCCTTCGTAGCCCCGTTGCAGCCCTTCGTGGCCCCCTCGCTCTGTTTCGTGGCCCCGTTGCAGCCCTTCGTGGCCCCCTCGCTTTGTTTCGTGGCCCCGTTGCAGCCCTTCGTGGCCTCCTCGTTGCCCTTCGTGGTCCCGTTGCAGCCCTTCGTGGCCCCCTCGCTTTGTTTCGTGGCCCCGTTGCAGCCCTTCGTGGCCCCCTCGCTTTGTTTCGTGGCCCCGTTGCAGCCCCTCGTGGCCCCGTTGTAGCCCTTCGTGGCCCCCTCGCTTTGTTTCGTGGCCCCGTTGCAGCCCTTCGTGGCCCCCTCGCTTTGTTTCGTGGCCCCATATGTGTATGCCCTTCGTGGCCCCCGCTCGCTCGCGCCCGTGGTGGCCCC